TCACTCTAAAAAAAAAAAAAAAGTCCACTCACTCTACTCCCTGGCCCCATTCCAATAGGACCCAGTCTGAAAACTACCTATATATGAACCTCTCTTTTAAAGATAGGGAACTAAGGTCTAGGGAAAGGTCTAAATGGCAAGACCACAGGTATTCCAAGCAGAGCCAGGATTTGATTCCTAGTCTCCTTGTGCCCACTAGTCAAGTCTGGAGAAAGCCCACCAGCAACCTCCAAAGCACAGCAGTGCATTACAGCAGCCCACCTCTCCATCAAGAACCACACTGGTGCCAAGCAGTACAGGGATTCAGTTGGCACACTCAGATGATACAAGGCCACCGTCCAGCCCTGGCCTTGGCACCCAGTCCACTCTGACAAGGCCCCTGAGTTTCACCTTCATTTCCAGCATGGGGTGAATAGTTGCTACCGTCCCTCAGCACGTGGAGGGAGGCGGTCCTGGAGGAGCTCAGGCCACTGTGGGTGCTGCCTTGACAAAGAGCCCTTTGAGAAGCTTGTCCCTCCACCTTCAGACCAAGGTCCCCAGACAGAGGCCAGTGGCCTCATGCTGGAGAGGACTTGCCAGGGCCTAGTGAGGTCCACTGCATATGAGGACAGGAATAGGAAAGCTCCTAAGAAAGATTTCATGAAATTTCAGAAACCTACAGCCTGAGGCCTGACAGAATGTGAGGCCATTCACAGTCAGTGGCAGTTTGAAGATGTGACCAAATCTGTTTCATCATCATAGTCATAAAGCTCCCTAGACATGAGGTCATTGTGATGGGACTTCTTTAAAAATGTTTGACCTGAGGGGTGATTACGGCCTAGACTGGTCCACTGTAATAAGAGAATATTGAAAACCAAACCGAGCCAGCTGTTTGTCGAGTCACTTTAGATTCACAGAGACTCCATGTGTGCATAAAACAGCTCCCCAGGGCTTCCATGGCCAAGACTATTCAGAAGCAAATAGCCAGGTCTCTCTTCCCAGGCATCAGTGAGTGATTCTGAACTGCCAACACTGGTTAGTACTTGAGAGCACTTATTTCTGTCCTACCCAGTACTTCCATAGAGGAAAGAAAACCCAAACACTAAACTACTGTTGTGGGTTTATTCCCAGTGACCTGCTATTGCTGTGTAGAGTCAGAACTGATCCTAGTTGACCCTCCAGTGGGTTTTCAGAGACAGCAAATTGCACGGGAGGAGATCGTCCACCCTTCTCCTACAGAGCAGCTGGTGGATTTGAACCTTGTGCCTTTTGGACTGCAGGGCAGCCTACTTATGATGAGGCCACCAGCTAGGGGGCAGAACAAAAGTGCCCCAAGAGTTTCTAAGGTTGTAAATTTTTATGAAAGCAGCTTTATTTCATGGAGCTGCTTGTTGTTGTCGCTGTGTGCCATCAAGTAAGAACCGACCCACAGCTGACCTTCTAGTGGGTTTTCAGAGAAGATCACACATCTTAATCCTAGTGGATTCTAATCAAGTGTCTTTGGGATCGCAGCGTAGCTTACCACTAGGCCACCAAAGCGCCCCATGGAGCTGCTGCTGTTGTTTACCATTGAGTTGGAACTGATCTATTACTGACCCTTCAGCAGATTTTTAGAGGCACTTAATCACATGGGAGGAGACTTTCCATCTTCCCCTGGAGCACCTGGTAGATTAGAACTGCATGCCTTCGGGATTACAGTGCAATTTCTTACCATTAGGCCACCAAATCTCCCTCATGGGCTAGTAGGCTCAAACTTCTGACCTTTTAGTTTGTAGTCAAGTGCACTACCAATTTTCATTAGGTGCCATTCACTTCGCTGATGTACGGCAGAATGAAACCCACCCAATCCCATGCCATCCCCACAATCTTTACTGTACTAAGCCCACTGTCACAGTCATGTCTTCCACCTCACTGAGGATTTTCCTCTCCTTTGTTGACCCTCCACTTTCCCAAGCAGGATGTCCTTCTCCCTGAACTGGTAACATGCCCAAAGATGAGATGTAGTCTTTTCATCTTTGTTCTCAGGTGCATTCTGTGTGAAGTCAGCTTCAAAATAAACATCCTGGGACCATCTCAACTCTCGCTTTGTTATATGTTGTGTGCACAGACAGTGTTAACATATACCTTTCACAACCTCTCTTTGTGGCAGGGATTGTATAGCAATGTTACTTCCTTTTGAAAAGTAAGTTTTCTTCAAGTACTTCTTTTCTGGATCTTTGATACATATTCAGACACACAGGCAATACTTTATTTCAGATATTTTCTTTTTGTAAGTGGATACTTTTCCAGTTCAGCTGTTGCTCCTTAAAGTGTAAACATGGGTATAAAGCTTGGAAGCCACATAACAGGATCTTTCTTATTTAAAAAAAACAAAACAAACAACAAACCAACATAAGAAACAACTAGAAATTTTAATTTAACCATCTAACAAGACCCAAGACACCCATCTGACCACATGAAAGTCCACCTGTAGTACATGTATTTCATTTCTCCAAAAGTTTCCCTTTCCATCCTCCATGGTCTGGGGCAAATATCACGTTGCGCACCTACCAATAATGATTTTTCAATAATAATTTGAGACCACAGTAGGCTCAAATGGAACAGCCAATTATCAGTTTGAGAAAGTCACTTCCCACAGTAGTCTCCATTTTCTCATCTATAAAATGGCATTTCTCTCAAAGAGCTATTGTAAGAATGCATGAGACATCATTTGAACACATCAGCAATAAGGGATGCTCTATGGAACATGAAGGACACCTATTTAGCTGCTCAGCTACCCTGTAATTGCCTCTATGCCTTATCTTGCAAGATGCTCACACACAGAATACTATCTTACTGGGTAACTGATGTGTCTTTCCAGCTGGACTTTCATTGAACACAGTGGGGTTCAATAAGGCTTTGTAAGGTGAATGTCCCTGAAATGACTACAGGAATCCAGCTGAGTGGTGCAATATATGGTATGTGGACTGACCACATGACTCAAGGAGGGGGTCCCAGGATTGACTCAGGTTCCTGTCTAGGTACCCAACAGAGTGGGACTGATATAAAATGAAGAGAGATAATAGGTCCAAAGTCTGCACAGAGGTGGGGTGCGTGGGACACAACCTCCAGAAAAGAGACCAAACCCTTTTTAAGAAGGGGTATCTTAAACAACACAAAGGGTAGCCAGGAACCTACCCTGGAAGGTAAAAGAGATTTCTTTCTTTTTTTTTTTTAATTGTTTATTATTTGTGTGTGTGCGTGTACCGTCAAATCAGATCTGACTGGTACAGGAGATTGCCCCTCCTTCCCCAGCAGAGCATCTGGTGGATTTGAACTGTGCGCCTCTGGGATTGTAGTTGCAGCTCCTTGCCACTAGGAGATTTATTTCTTAATAGCATAGTTTGAATGAAACTGATCATAAGCCAAAGTCCTATCTTTGCTCTAATCACAGTCTAGCTTCAAAGGTCCTAGGAAACCTGAACAAACTCCCCACCCCTCCTCTCTAGTGCTCACAATCACTGTGTGAACACATCACCTGGTCAAGTAGGACCCTTGAATCCTGTGTGGCAGGTGTTACTGTTGTCTCTGTTTTACGAAGTAGGGGACAGACTGAAGTAAATCATGGCTGACCCCTTAGAGAGCACCTCTAAGCTGGTGTGGCCAGCCTTGGTTATCATTACTCTATCACTACTACTGGTCACCTTCTTTCCCAAGTGGCTACTCAGGTTCTGTAAGTTTTTCTCTACTTGTTGAGTCAAGAGAAGGCTGGGAGGAACCTTCGAGGAGGGGTGCTCCCTCCTTAAGGAGAGAGGCCCCTGGCAGCTGGCCTGTAGCCAGGCCCTCATTCCCACCCCTGAGGTCCTGGAACTGGTCTTCCCTCTTTACCCTCCTCCAGTTGGGATCACAGACTCCCTTTCACACAGGGTGGCAGGGCTCTGCACCACGTGACCATCTCCTCCACTATCACTTCAGCTCGCCTGGCACCTCCCCTGCTCCAAGCCTGTGCAGAGGAGGTATCAAGTTGTTGAGGCCAAAGGAGAGGGTTGGGCTGGTCCGAGTTGCTGCTTTGCACGCTCTGTTTCCGTGCCAGATTTGAGGGTGAGAGTGAAAAAAAAAAAAAAATTAAAACCGATCTTTAGTTGCACTACCAGGAAGCTCTGGTGGCCTAGTGGCTAAAGGCTGCGCTGCGATCCTGAAGACACGTGGTTCGAGGCAACCAGCTGCTCTGCCGTAGAAGGATGGACAATCTGCCTCTGAAAACTCGGTGGAGGGTCAGCTGTCGGTCGGTTTCGACTCTAAGGTACACAACAAAAACTGAACTACCCAGATTGAAATCGGAGATTCCATTATGTGTCCTTGTGCAAATGATTTAAACTTTAAGCCTCAGTTTACCCATCTGCAAGAGAGAGGAACCCAGGTGGTCCAGTGGTTAAGCGCTTGGCGATTAACTTAAAAGTCAGCAGCTTGAAGCCACTCGCTTTTCCCTAGAGAAAAATGTAGCAGTCGGCTTTCAGCCTGAAAAACCCTATGGGGTTGCTTTGAGTCAGTCAAAATCTACTCCAATGCTGGGGGTTTTGTTTTGTCGTCGTCCTCCTTCTCTTTATTAAGGAGTGTGACTAGTGGCTCCTGCACAAGGTTAAGGAGAAGACTAACAGAGCAGAGCATGGAGAGCACACCGTCAACAGGCTGGCTAGTAATGGTAGGTGTGCAATAATGGTGGCCTTCCAGGCAAGATCAGAGAGAGACTCTGCCCCTGGCAATTCCAATGTCAGGAGCAACGGTGCATAAAGAAGTCGGGGGCACAGCCAGTATCTGTGCACCAAGGCCCGCGAGCCAAGCCACAGGCAGGCGGGGAAGAGGGCGGCACAGGGGAAGAGGCCCGTACCGGGTGGCGCTCGGCCCGCGCCGCCGCCATCTGACCGCGCCCCCCCCCCCCCCGTCGCCTCCCTCGTGGTGGCATCGTGCAGCGCTGCACGGAGCCAGGCTCCTGCGCGCTGACCGGGCCCGCACTCCTCCCCGGCCTCTGCTGCTCCACTCACCCCGAGCCCGCCGCCGTGGTGGCCTGGATGGAGCTGATACGCAGGCGGTTGGCCGTGTCCTTCAGGGCCTGCAGCTTCTGCTGGTCGGGCTTGTGGTAACCCTCCATGGTGCAGCCGGGAGAGGAGGAGGAGAGCCGAGGAAGCGGACTCGGAAGTGGAGAGGGGACTGCAAGAGTAGCAGTGACTTGCACACAGAGAGACCAGGCACCGCGCGAAGGCGCTTTAAGACTCCCGGGACCCGCCCGATGGGGCGGGGCCTCAGCATCACCCCAGCCCGGCGTGCCGCGGCGGCCGCGCCCCCAATGCCGCTCCAGACCCCGCCCCTAGCCTTATCCAGGCCCTGCGGCTGCGCAGACCCGGGCCGGGAGCAAACGAGGTCCCAGGTTGGGAAGAGCGCTGGCTTGTTTTGCTGGGAGCCCAACCTGGCGCTTTCAATTCATTTAACCTGTCCCCTACTTGCGGAGCGGCTGTGGAATGCTGAGCTCCTGTGTGCCAGCCTTGGGCATGCGAGGTCCTGTGTTTGGGTTTCTGATGTGTGGGACCATGCAATGCAGGTGTTAACTGTTAGTCTAACATTAACCAAACACAAACAGTTAGAAATAATATTAGTAATACTAATCATTCCAGGCTCCAAGGTTGGCTCAGAGTTTGATCAGTGAGTGAGTGAGGAGGCTCCATCATTATTCCCATTTTGGAGAAGAAGGTTTGGTAAAGTGCGTGATGGAACACCCAATGCAATGGAGTGGTGACTCTACTGGATTTCAGAAGCTTAACAAACGGCCTCATCTTTTCTCCCAAGCACAAATTTTTATTTCGTATCCCCAGACCTTTTGGTTAGAAATCCAAATTGTTAAGCACAGTGCCATGGAGCTCCTAATTCCTAGGCCTCATTAAGGAAATGATATTGGTCCAGTCGACCAGTCCCCAAGACAGTGCAGGGCTGATAGGTGCCTTATCAGACAGATGAAGGGTTGCAAAAATGAGCATAATTACCAGCAATAATGAGGTATCTGTGGAAGTGTTAGGGTCAGGCTCTCCATACATTATTAGAACCTAGAAACACTGGAAAAGAGGAAGACTCAAGAAACCAGTTGAGACTGGGACTTTACCAATGTGCACAAACAAAACACAGCTTGTGAGGATTGCACAGAACTAGGCAGTCTTATTCTGTTGGACCTGTGGTCGCTGAGTCCAAGCCAAATTGATAGCATCTCACAACAAAGTGACACAGTAACAGCAGCAATGGGCTCAGGGGTGTTGGAGATTGTGAGGCTTGCACAGGTTAGGATGGGGTTCAGATCGACCATTTACTGGGCCACTCTAGGCTGAACTGGACATGATGGCACCCAACAACAACAAAGAATTGATGCCTTTGAATTGTGGTATTGGTGAAGAGTGTTGTCAGAAGAATAATCAAACTTGTTTTGGAGGAAGTGCAACCTGCATGCTTTCTGGCGAGGATGGTGAAACTTCTTCCTTCCTCTCATACTTTAGGCATGTTGTGAGGAGGGGCTAGTTCTTAGAAAAAGATACCTTGATGGGAAAGGTGAAGGGTCAACAAAAGAGAGGACAGGACAACTCTGGGCAAGATGAATTGACACAGTAACTGCCACAATGGCTGGAACATGACAGAGATCGTGAACATGGCATAGGAGAGGGCATGGTTCTGATCTATTGTCCATAGGGTCTCTGTGAGTTGTCATCAACAACAAAGAAACACTGGAGTTTCTGTCCAGGTTTATTGGGAAAGGAGCGCCCACTTCTGCTACCAGACCTTATGATGCCCACAAGTTTTTACCAGGGTGGCAAGGCTGTCCCAAATAGAGACTTCTATCAAAGACCCCATCTTACTGAATTCTCCGCCCCCCACCATATGTGGATAAGCCCTGTACTGTCACAACATCCTTTTTACAGAAGAGGGAGCTCCATTTTAGTGAACTCAGCTCAACTCATAGCAGACCCTCCAGCAGGTTTTCAGAGACAGTAAATTGCACAGAAGGAGACTGCCATCTTTATCCCATGGAGTAGCGGGCGTATCCAAACCACCTACCTTTGGGTTGATAACATAGTTCACTACTGACTAGGCCACCAGAGCTCCCTAGCATTTTCCCACAAAAAGGTACGGACAGGTCCTTCAAACTGGTGGCTGAGCAGAGGTTTAGCTGATAACGAGCCTCTGAGAGAGTCAGGGGAGGCACCAGGCCTGTCTTTAATCACCCTGTGTTCCTGAAGAGTCCACACTCAGAGCTCTTCATCATACAGAATAATACACTGAATTCAATAAGTGTTCTACCTTACTTCTGGGTGGGAACTGACCAAGGAGAAGAAGGTAGAGCCAGGCTAGGCTGCTTCTCAGGTGCTCTGACTACCAGATTCCCCAGTCAGGTCCCACAGCATGGCATCCTGCAGCACCTGGCTCTTGTTGACCCAGCTGCTAGATGCCCCTATATCCACCTAAGGCACTTAGCTTGTGAAGGCTGTGAGCTAAGATTGGAGCAAGGTGGCCCAGGGGGTGTCACCTTCAGAAGTTTGGTAGGTCTCTAGTCATCTCAGGCTGTACACCATCTGACAAAACAGGACACACCCTCTAGGACCCTGTGCCTTCCAGTGCAATGGCTTCCTGTTCCAAGTCTCATTTTCTCCATCTGTTTAATAGGACTAATCCTTGCCATACATCTTGTACTCCATCTTCTGCTCTCTGAGTGTGTGCATTGTGGCTTTAGAGACCCAGCAGTGATAGAAAGGAAACTCATAGGGGTACGTGCAAGTGTGTGCGCACGTGTGTGCACGCGTGCGCGCGCGCGCACACACACACACACACACACACACACACACACACGATTTTAAGGACCATGGGGACAGCTTCTCCTCATCCTGAAAGTCCAGGTCAATGGGGCCTATTTCATCCTGTGTTCAGCCACATGTAGGGACCTCTTGAACTTCCCTATTGGCTTTGGAACCAGAATCCTAGATTGGCTAAAAGTGGTCCCAACAGCCTGTTTCTCTAAGTACTCCTGCCCTTGCCCTGCTTCCCAGGTCCTTGGTCTTCATTAAACCACACACACTTTCCAAATTCCATGGCACTTGAGATACTCATTCTTGCTGGTCACTACTCCCTGCCTGTTCTTCTGCTGTCATCTTGATCCCTTGTCCAGCATTCTCTGTCACCCAGCCTTACATTTTGTAAGGGTCTCAGAGCAAAAGCTCATCTCTTCTTGGCTTAGCCCCATGTTGGTCCCCTTCTACCATGAAGATAATATGCAGTCCCCTCCATGTCTTGCGTTCTGACTCCTCCAGACTTTCTCTTTGTCCTTCACTCACTCCACTGCCCCATTTCAACTGACTTCCTTGTTTTCCCTAAAAACACCTGAGCTCACTCACTGTCTCCCAGAAGCCTTTGCATGATCTGTTTCCTCAGCCAGCCAGGCTGCTCTTCTCATTGCATCACTTCCTCCTTCCTCAGCTGCAGCTTTGTTGTTTCTCTGTCAACTCTCAGACAGCAGGGACATATTCTCTTGATCACAACTATGTCCCTAGAGCCTCCACGTTGTCCTGTACAGAATAGATACACAATAAATACCAGTGGAATGAAAGCTTGGTGATTGGCTGGAGGTCACTCAATTAGCAAATCCTAGAGATTCACACAAGGAAAGATGTCATGTCACTAGAGACCTCAGGGCATGGAATATGGCCTTTCAAGTCATGTCCTCCACTTGTGCTGTGTTGTGAGAAAGGAAGTGGTGAGGTTATCTTGCCAGCATCAGATGCCACAAAGGCCCTTGAGCCACACAGCCAGAAGCCACAAGGTGCCTGAGGAAAAGCTGGCCGTAGGGGAGCCAGGTGCAAGTGTCTAACCTATGACCCCTCAGGCCAGCTCCCCAGAGCCGCAAAAAGGGTTTTAAGGAGTGTACTGAAGAGGAGACATGAGTCATTTGTTTTACTGGGGTGACAAAAAGCGGTGATCATGAAGATGGCTTGCTTGGAGTAGGAGTTCTGAGGTTGCATCCAGGCTCAGCAGGTGTCAGGAAATGCTGAGCACAGGTACAGGAGACCAGGCGTGTGGTGTGTGTTTGTCATAGTTACTGAGATTCTGTTTCTTGTATGTTCTGCCCTGCCTTCCAGTGTGTGGGCTGACGTCACATGGCGCCTTCCCAGCCTCCCAGAAAAATTGGGGCTTTGGCACAGGCCATAGCCAAGGTCCAGCTCCTTCTGCTGCTCAGCCCTGGACACACGGACCCTTGGACACACATCGAAGGCCTCCACAGTTCCCTTTGTCTGAAACTCTGTGGCTAGAGGATGATCTTGAGGGAAGCTTCATCTGATGGCGCAGACTTGGGGGACTAGGGATGTGTATGTAGACTAGCAAGAAATCATCTCTTTCAGTCAGTGTGAAGATGGCATCTCCTGAGAAATGGGTTTAATCCTAAAGCATACCATTGTGGGCCAGGTCTGTGGGGAAATGTAGCTTCTTCATGGTCTCAATTGCATGGAAAAGTAAGGGTGAGTGAAAGAGAGAAAGACCTTCAACAAGATGAACTGACGTAGTGGATGCAACAGTGGACTTGAATGTGGCGGAGGTTGTGAGGATGGTACAGGAGAGAACAGTTTCAATGTATTGTTTTGTATTGTTCATGGGATTTCATAGTTGTGTATAGTCAACCTGAAGGTACCCAGTACAGCTGAGATTTCAATGGCAAGATGTTAGGGTCCTCTAGGTGACTAGAGATAAGAGCTATCAGAAGCAGACATTTAACAATGTAGATAGATCCCTGTAGATTTTAAATGAAGGCACCCCATCACACCTTCTGAATTCTAGTCTCTAAAGTGGGGCTTTGTTACTGTTATTGTCAAGATCGACCCATAATTGACAGTCCAGCAGGTTTTCAGAGGTAGTAAATCATACAAGAGATTACCCATCCTAGCAAGGAGCAGCTGGTAGATTCGAACTGAGTGCCTTTGTGATTGCATCGCAGCTTCTTACCACTAGGCTATCAATCAGAGTGGGGTCTAGGACTCTGCATTTCTTATAAGAACCTCAGGCAGAAAATGTCCAAAAGAAGGTTCAGAAAAAACACTGGCAACCCAAGACATTGGGTCCTGGCCCTGGACATGCCTGGCCTTCATG